TTGGATCAGCCTGGGATACACGCAGCATGCCATTGTGCCACACCCCGAACAGATCCCCCAGACCTTTGGTATTGAGTTGTAATCCACTCACGAGGTCAGCCTTTGTCAGCTTTCGGATTCCGCAAATATTGAAAAATGACTTCGACAACTGGAAATAGATCCATGCCTGGAAGAACTCGTGTCGATCCAGACGCATGCAGCTAGTTTCCATCGGTCCCGACATTCTAGTGATTGTGCTGTCATCGTTCAGTATCCAACCATGCTTTTTGGGAAATTGGATAAAGTTTTCGACTCCGAATCCATGCTCTTCGAAGCAGTCTGACTGAGCAGCATGGTATTCGACAGTAACGCCAGTAATGGAGGCTCCAGAATAGCTGTCGTTAAAATGTTGCATGTTTTCTCCGGTAAACGTAAATTGTAAATCGGCTGGAAGGTAGTACCATGCAGAAGGCTTAGCAACGTCAATGCCGCTACACACTTGATGTGTTTATTATGATGGGCTGGGGGATGCCAGGCTTTATTCGGTGGCCCATCTGGCAAGCCCCATCTTGAGCTCCCAAACAACCCATGCTGGTTTTGCGCATGCTGGTTGTGCGCATGCTGGTTGTGCGCATGCAGCTGGAATATGCTCAGGACATTCTTCTTGCAAGTTGGTGTGCATGAGCAGGCTGCGGATATGAATGATGAGCATCTGCATCAGCATCTGACTGGCCGCGGTTGAGACAGAGGGCCATATATGTGCAGGGTGGCTCCGGTCGGGTGGACCTTTATAGACTTCTTGCATTACCTGCAGTTCTTTGGCTTGTACCCTTTGGTACAGTCAAATCCACCAATGGCAACCGAAAACTGGATGTCTGCATCTGCATCCTGTGATTGGTTGAGAACCGGAGTGGTGTGTTACACGATTGGCGGCTGAGCCCCGACGCTATGAAACCGAGGCGTTCTTGCTCTCCCTTCCAAATGATGACGACAAAAGAGGTAGCATCCCCGCTCCTGTTTTCACGTTTTTTCCCTCCCATATATGTAGGCTTTCGACGACTTGATGCTGACCACGACATTGACTTGGGTCCGTGATCAACATGGTACGTGGTCTTGCAAAATACCCCCTGTAGCATAAGTCTGAATGGCATTTGAACCTGACCTGCCACTTTCGCAGGTCTTTGAAGTTAAATCGAGCAGGCTGCTGCGGCTTACAGATGTTGTCAGATGGAAGCCCCCCATAACGTTATAGTAGGGAAACACTTCCTTCATGAACCTTCATACATTAATTGACGAGTGACAGGATCCTGGTTCTTTTATCATCACCCCCATCTCCAGATGCACATAAGATTTTGGAGAACAGGACAAAATCGCATAAGACAAGCGGGATCCGTCAAAGAACCACAACAATGTGGGAGCACGTAGAGGAGACGTTGGCCCAGCCTGAAGTATTTGACGACGCTTCCGGAAAGCTTGAAGACTTCATGAGCGGCAAGCAACCCCGACGCCGTGACAGATTTCTTCGTGGGTTTATCCACATCTTTCGTAAGGAAATGTTGGTCAGATACTTTATCATAATGGATGAGGATATGTCCATCGTGGTGAACGAGTTGATGACCCAAGCAAAGTCTAAATTCCCCCTCATCACAGTTGGCTTAGTAATTATGGAAGATATCCATGATCAGAAACGCCTATCAATTGGGACTTCTACAGATGGCTTTCCAGGGAGGGAATCCGTATCCCTACTTAAACCCGTCACTTGGAGCGTACAGAAGCGTCCTCAGTCTATCGACAGCCAGTCAACTCTAGTAGATGACTTGCGTGACGCTCTCGAGTACGTCAGGAAGTCCGAGCCTCTTGTGAAACAGGAGGCAGAATTAATAAAGAGCAAGGAGTTCTCAAAGAAAGCCGTGGAAGAAAGTCGACGTTCACAGATGGGAGACGTCAAGCATCGAACACCGGAGACGAATGAGATCCAGATGGAAGACTACTCGAAGATAAACCCGAAGAAGTCGTCAAAAATCACCGGATCGCCTAAGTTTCCTCAATTGCACGAGTCCCCTAAGTTGGTTCACCCCGCGAGACTATCGGCAGGGACACAAACGGAGACCGAAAGTGGACCGCTGCTGACTACGACGTCCAAGCCCAGCGGCAAAAAGAGGGTTTTCCCAGAGATTTCTCCTATCCAATTGAAGTCCGAAAGTCCATCGAATATGCCGCAACAAGATTCAGATGCCCCAAGAGAGGTCAAGTCCAATCCAGCAATTTCAGACGAGCATCAGCGTGACTCCGGAAGACCAATTATCACCACTTCCAAACAACAAACAACTTCGGAATCACTCTCAGAATCGAGAGACCGTCAGTCAACCTTAACTCATACGACGAAGAGGTCTTGCGATGGGCGGGACGGAGCCTGTGGCGAAGGCGAATCTGAACAAAACCAGCAACTAGATGCGTGCTTTGGATGTACTTTGGGGACGTTGGTATCGATGAATACCTTCCGCACGTATTGGGCAATGTCGACGCACCATCTCTAGATGTTGTCCATCATCTCAAAACGCTCGAAGGTCTTCAGAAATCTGAATCGTTCAATTCGGTTGAAGGAACTCGAATGCGAATTGCCCTTGCAGTTATGCATATGCATATTGGCCAGAGTCAACAAGCTAATGAGATTCTAATTGCTGAGCTAGGGAGGATGGGACAAGAAGAGGTAGTCGACAAGCCTATTCAAGAGCTTAAGAACGAATCGATGTTCTGGCGTGCCACATGCATGTGGCATCTTGGAGACTACCAGGAAGCCAGAAGCATCATAGGTCTGAACCTCGAGCAGAAAAGAAGGTTGGGTTCTTGGAACGTATCGAGTGTCAAATACCGGCGCGGCTTGGTGCGATCTGTGGAGATATATCGACTATACGCCATTATGGCTGCGTCATCCGGTCTTCCTCCTGAAGACGGTGTTGCTGCTGTCAACAAGTGTCTCACTAAAGCCAGATCGTGCTGCGATATCTTACGTACAGTATCATGTCACGGAAACCTTAAACCATCGAGGGACGAGGAACTGGAATACGAAGCACTGAAAATCTCGATCGGAATTGTAGACTCGAGGAGGCTGTATCTTGGAGGCAAACTCCGTTCGGCTTTGGAAGTTGTCCAACCATTATACGGGCGGGCAGTTCACCTATTTGGTTCGATGCACGCCTTGACTCTCGAGGCAGCTGTTTTATGCAGCCAGCTCTACATTGACACTTCGAGGACCCTTGAGGGCAGAGAACTGAATCTTAGATGCGTCGATGTCATTGAACGACTTTTCGGAGACTCCCACCCCTTGGCTTTGCAAGCCACTACTGTTCTTATTTCTGCTGCTCGAGCGGAAGGACGCCTAAAACAGGCGCTGTGGAAGTCCGTTGATCTATGCAGACGTTTAGTTTGCAACCCAAATTATGGGGATACGCACCCAGTGACGATCGAATGTTCAAGTCAGCTGGGCTCTATTCAGACGAAGCTGGGAGACTTCCTACCCGCCGAAAAGACTTTGTCAAAGGCAATACATGACTTTTTGAGATTATGGGACACTCTACAAAGCTGTTCCACATCTTTGTTCATGTTACATGCAAATCTGGCCCTCGCTCAGTTACAACTCGGAAAGGTCGAAGACGCGAAGGAACATATCACCAAGGCACTTGAGGGGCAATCTTGTCGCTATCTTGGAATGCGCTTGATGGAAGTCTCTAGTCTCTTACGTGAAGGTAGTGGTCTGCTTGCCCGTGTAGAGGCTCGGCTACAAGTGTGGGTTTTTGAGGAGCCTTCCGGCAAAGATGTTCATCCAGACATTCTTGAGTCACTGTTGACATTAGCGAAGATCCAATATGCGGAAGATCCAGATGACATTAATCCGGTTTTAGACACTTTCTCACTGGTCAAGCTTTGTTCTTCGAGAATCATGGGCACTACTCATGAAATTACATTGCTTGCCTAGGGAGGACGTACTTTGTTAAGACGTCTTCATCTAACGATCGGTTTACGAGAGATGCCAGTCGTTCCGAAGCGATCAAAGAGCTCAATTTTGTCATCACAAAGAATTCGACTGCCAAGCGCATGATGGATTCTCAATTCTACTCCTCCAGGGATACAAGGCCATCGACAATTGATGCTGGAGTCGGTGTAACCGCAAGCAGCGATTTGGGTGCAAAAGACAGTACTGGACCGGGTGGAAACGAACCCCACCTTGGACTTTCCAGCATCTATCTGCAGGAGAACCATCCTACGGTGCTGCGTGCGAAGCACGATCTGCTCATGGGACAGCTATTTGCCCACAGGGACCATATTCCTACAGCAGAGGATTTGCAGGATGCACGCACGGAGCTTAAACAAATCCTGGCATCTCAAGAAAACCGGCCAGGACCGAATCACCCTGACAGACTACTGACAATGTTATCTCTGTTGGCCGTGCAACGGAGATCACATGATTCGGAGGAGAACATAAGGTTACTCTGGAAGATCTTTCTGGCCGTTTGAACAGGAAGGATGTCAACCGGGGGCGACTGCTAAATCGACTTGTCTTGCAGGAAAGGGTTGCACAGATTATTTCAGGGCATGACTGACTGAAGGGGCGTGCGATTAACTATTTGAAGGAAGTTGCTGAAATATCTAAATTGGAGGCTGCCAAATGGGAAAATACAAGTCTTGGCCGTGGTTTGCAAGGGGTCCAGGGTCGGTCTGAAGCTGCCCTTCGCCGGCTGGGAATTACATCATACGAAGCAATATTCTCAAGCTGAACTTTAGTCACCCGTCTTGGAAATGAATTGGTAAGTACCGCCATTCCTAATCAACGCATCCGTTGCGGCTAAATACTGCTAGTAGCTTATGTTTCACTCACTTGAATGCGGTATATCAAGCTATTATAAGCCACTCGTTTTACAGTCAGAGTTAGATCATGTTAGGACGGAGGTATATGTTGAATTTGCTGTTCTATACTCCTCATTGTTTGTGGTTTCTCGTACTTAAAGGGTGTCTTCTATACTTCAGACGTTCGCCAGTAGGTACTTCATGCCGTTCCACTGCTCAATCGCGCTAGGCAGGATCTGCGCGGCGGACAGAACGAAACCACCACCAGCAGAGCCAGACGGCCTGAGCTCAATGGTCCAGGCAACCTCCGCGCCAGCAGCACCTGTAAGGTAGTCAGGAGCACTGCCAGTAGTCGCATAGAGAGTTGAGCAGCTGGGGCCGTAGGTGAAGCGGGTGCCGTAGGATTGAGCGATAGTCGTGGCGGTGTTGCCGGCAAGAGTCATCTGGCGTGCGTGGTTGCTGGCACGGGCAGAGCAGTCATAACCGTAGGGAAGCAGGATGTACTGTCCATAGCTATGCCAGTCGATGAAGAGCTTGATACCGTTGCCAGAGGCGAGGCGGTCAGTGTAAGCCTTCAGAGCAACCATCTCAGGAGTATCGCCAGCGGCCACACCCTTGTAGGTCTCTGAGCAAGGGTTGGTGGAGGCGCCACCAGGGAGTTGCCAGTTGAAAGGCCAGTTTCTGACAAGGTTAGTGATTTGTTTGTTGGAGGATAGTCATATGCCTACCTGTTGATATCTGTGCCAATGCAAGTGCTTCCAGATCGGGGTTGACGGTTCTTGCGCCACAGGCGGTCGTTGGTTTGGGTGTAGGCAAAGCCCTGAGAGAGTCAGTTTCACGTCTTGCGTACTTGAAGTGAGTTTCTTACATCAGGGTTCACGATGGGAAGAATGTAGAAATCGTACTTGTCAAGGATAGCCTTGACAGTAGCGTCGTTCTTCTGGTATCCATCGATGAGCTGGTACGTGAGGTACTCAACAACCTGATCATGTGTTGGTTAGTAGACCTTGATTTCACGATGATTGAGAAATGTTACCATGGAGGTGATCCACTCGCGAGCGTGGACGGTGCCGTGCCAGTAGATCGCGGGCTTAGATCCCTTGCCGCCGCTACCCCAAAGGTGAATGCCCAGTAGTGAGCGTCCGCCGTACGAGCTGCCGGCGTTCACCAACTCAGAGTTGGAGGGGAAGTTGGACTGCAGGTCACGGATGAACTGCTGATGGTCGGCGAAGGCGTGGTACGAGTTGAACCACGACAGGTCCGGAAGGGCCTGAATGGTAGCATCTCCATTGCCTGATGAAGTCAGTATACACACAACTGTTTCATCGCCATGATAAAAAAGTACTCTCGTAGGGAGCAAAAGTGCCCTCCTCGGCGATGTCGGCACCCAAATCCTCATGCAGCACGCTAGTCTCCAGTCCGAGCTTCTCGAACTTGGAGATGTCGCCAGCAGGGATGGCCACATCCAAGTGCTCGCTGTTGTCGAGGTTGAAGGGGATGGCAGCGATGTTGGCGATCTTCGCCTTGATGGAAGCCGCATCATTGTGGGTGGCGATGCGGAAGGCCTTGAACCCATCGTAGGTGATCTTCTTCTCGAGAGGGGTGACAGCCGCGGCGGAGGCCAGCGGCAGCACGAGGGAGAGACTAGCGAGGAACTTCATTGTGAGCGGCACACTCTGCTTGAGGTCGGAGGTTGGAGGCTGGAGGGCTAGAGGTCAGAAATGCATCCTTCCAGGCAATCATCCGCCCATTTTATGGAAACCAGAAGGTGCCTCCATTCTTGTGTGTCCCGCGGCAAGGCTTCTCAAGGTAGTACAACTTCCAATGGTGTCACTGATCGACCTTTGCAGAAAACGGTAGGTGTGATCTGAGGCTGCACCATCCCGTTGATTGATAAGGAAGTTGTGATTGGTGTTGTCATAGAACCCCTCACTTACCTATGGAGAATGAGCCCCCATGGCTGCTTCTGCTTGTTGTTGAGGTAGGAGTGACGAACAGGGATGCTTCAACATCGATGACAAGTGAGACCCATGCAAAAGGCATGAGCAGACTCCCAGGGGCTGGCCAGCCACTGCCGCGTAGAAACCCATCATGATGCGGAGGGAGGAGCGATCTGGGGCAGCTAATCGGGCAGCTCGGCAGGACCAAAAATATTCGTCAGCTGTCGATTCATGAGCTCGCTTAGCAATGAGCAGGGACTTTGGGGGTACTGGCCTCTTGGACTGTAAATATTTCTTCAGACCTTCCCGAAAGGAACAGGTCAAGATAATCAGGCAAGCATACCGTTGAACAGCCAAGACTCGGACTCCCATGATGATTACGGGGGAAACCTGCTCACTGATCGAAGTAGCTTGGCCGGGCACGCAACTCGCACGCAACTCTTCAAAATCCTTCCACCTGCCCTTAAAGTTTAAGCTTAAAAGGTTACTTGGTGGCGGCGATTGGGTGATTGACGGACTAATGGAACGAGCCGATCTGCAAGAGCCTGCTTTGGTATGGTGCCACGCGCTCGATGCGACCTCAGACGGCGACCAAATCCCGGTTGGGTCAACTTTGTGAACACTACTGCTGCAGCTTATTCTGAAAGATCTATCGAGTTCTGGGCCCAGGGAAACTCACTGATGTTGAATTGAGCCTTTGAAACGGCCATATATGGCTGAATCTGCTCGTGTCAGGTCCCAAGTCGTGGGTATCATCGGCTTCTATTGATGTAGTCAACGAAGCAAGGAACGATACATCTCCGGAGATGGCGGAATCGCGAAATATTATCTCTCAAATCAAGGTGGTGAGCAATTGCCAAGGCCCTAAAAAGCGCGGCGGGACCACACTCGAGGTCGTGACTGGTGATATCCCAGTCGCCAAGCAATCGACCAAACGAAAACGAGGTTGGAGACCTTGACCAGTACGACGATGGCCGACTGAGATATCACCCCTAACATGATGACGATGGACTTTAGGGTCAGACGTTGTTGAATTCTCCAGCTCCCATAGCTATCTTCTCCAAGACTTCACCTTGTAGTAGCCGCTCTCATCTGCTTCAAATTCAACGCCACTCTTGCCAAACAAATCCTTCAGCTCTTCCAGCTCTTCTGGAGGAACTTCGCTCCTGTCTGTTGTGCTGAGCATCCGCCGATATCGTATTTTCCGTAACTTGGGACAGCACTGGCCGATATGCGACGCAAATGCTAGCAAATCATCGTCCACCGGACCTCGCCTTAAGTCCATGAGATCCAACGTCTCCAATCTCTCTGGGAGCATTCTTCCTAATCGGCGCACGGTGTATGCGTTCTCTCCATCGTACAGATGATGCCATGGATCATACAAACTCACACCGTCAATATCGAGACGTTCGAGTACTTCGAAGTTCTTGAACGACGTGACCACGTCGAGAAGCTGGTCTCTTCTTGCCTTGGATACCTGAAGAAGCGCCCCGTTTGAATGTAGCGTCAACTCGGTGAGCTGGTGTTGCAGTGGCTTGAGTGCTTCCACCATCTCTCGCGGTGTGCAATCACGGACAGTTTGGCGAGGTTCCAGCGTAAACTCCCTGTCGCCAGTGTTGAGGTCATCGGTCCAGCTAAACCAGAATTTCTTGACGTTCGGAAATCCGCGAATCAGTTCCTTCATTTCTGGACCAGTGAGGTTCGCCATCGTCAGCAAGAGTACCCTGACTGTGTCAAACTTAAGCTCAGAGACTGGGCCGTGGACGGTCTCGAGCCATAGCGAGTCGAGATTCGGAGCCCACCCTGATAGCGGCTGGATATTCTCAGCAGCTCCGAGGTTGTCGATGTTGAAGTCATGGAGTTTTGCCAGGAGGGGCGCGCTTCCGGTGGTCTTGGCCACCGATGAGAGTGTTTTGAAGAACGTGGCCTTGTTTCGTCGTTGATAGTAGACAGTGCGGACATTGGGCGTATGCGCCACGATCATCTCCGTCAGAAACTGGGCGACCTCTCCTTTCTTTCTCTCCTCCACTTTCGAATCCTCCACATCGTAGATGGACACTTCCTCCCAAGTCAGGGGCATAGGTACCGTCATGTCCAAAGCCTCTGCAGCCGACACGAGATCCATGTGGTTGTCGCGTGTTCCACGGTATAGGTCTAGTGCCGGATAGGTTGAGATGTCCTTCACCTCGGCCGCCATCTCCGGGTTGGCCATGAAACTGAGTAGTAGCGGGATGAAGGCGGTTAGGCGCGGTCCCCCGTACATGTGCTGAGGGTTGATGAACTTGAACAGTTCGGCCACGGCCACGCTTCGCAGTCGCCTACACACGTGAGACAGGACAAGGAGACTTGGTTCAGCCCCGACCTCATAGTCCCCATCGTCTTCAATGTCGGGAAGTTTGCTGCAGATCTGTCGGAGAATCTCGACCGGCAGCTTGTCAAGTCTCAGCTCTCCCATCATGTTATTGATGCGATTGTTTTCTGATAGGATAGTAATATTAATGATCGCCACATCAAGAAATGATTCATCGACAAATTTGCTTTTGAGTTGTTCGCTCCTGAATTCACTTCCCAGTGAGCTTGCTGAGGTCGGTTTAGCGTGTGGCTGCCTACGAGCCCCGCTTTTACTTAGTCATGTCCATGGTCTCGATGAACACCGAAGATTGAGGTCTGGAGAGAATTAGATTTCCAACCAAATGGCATGAAGAGGTGATTATAATGTGTTTTTACTAGAGGGTGCATCGTTGAAATTTTGAGAGTGTCTATTATTTCCATGACAATCTCTAGAAGCAAAAAGAAGAAAAGTGGACAGTGGGCAACGGCGGCGCGCAGATAGAAAGCTTCTTATGAGTACAGGCGCCTCATCGCTAACTGATGTGATGGCTATCTAGGTTGTGAACTTGGACAAATGGACTGCAAAATGTTGATTCATTTTACATCACGAAGAACATCATCAGCATCATTGCTGTTGACTGTAACCTCATTATTCTGGAACCTGGCTTACGATACTCACATACCCAGCTAAACAGCCCAACTTCGACCGTATTCAGTAACGACGACGTTGATGTCCTTTAGAAAAGGCATTCTGGAATGTTTCAACTATGAAAGCTCGGCAGAATCTCTCAATATTGACTCAGGAAATCCGCGGTGCGTCATGCATGAGTTCACATTTTGTGGAAGTTGTAAAATTGGATGTTTTTTTTAGGAAACTATCTGATGATGTCCTGTCTAGACATTATTGTTGTCGTGTGTTGAAACCAAACCCTGTAGCCAAAACGCCTTCAACACCAAGTTCGCTCAGTATCCCAGAGGCCATTTATACTATTCCCAGTCCTTCTCGACCTTCCAAGCGTCGCTCGGGTGTAAGCCAGCAGCGGCAAAGTCGCAACCACGGTGTCCCCATTTCCTCCGGAACACCTCGCGCCCAGCTTCTGTCATCACGTCGATGCCTGTCTCAAAGCCATATGCGTCGTAATAGTAGGGTTCGCTGGGGTCCCCGCCTCGCTGGCCCACTTGCCATGTATTCCTTTCTCGCTCGGCGTGTTTGTGGTTGAACATATCCTGGCCGATACGGAAGAGCCGCTTGAAAGATGGAATCGGGTCGCGAACTGTTGTGGTGAAGTCCGCGCCATCGATTACGGCACCGTCACCCGATTTTGGTGGCAGCTTAGCCACACTATCCTCCAGTCCCCTAGCTGTCTTCTTCTTCAAATGGTCATCGGCTGTCTTTGGTACTGGTGGGTTGGGGTCGGTAAAGCTGAATCCATCTGGTACTTCGGTCTCCCGGTAAAGCATACGGAGGTCTTCGAGCACCGACGCCACATCTTGGATGACCCCTGCCTTGGCGCTGAGCATACTCCAACCCGCTTCCTCAAGTCGCCAGTGCATGTCGCAGTCCGTCATGTAGTACGGAATAAAGGTGTCCCAGCCGCCGACGTCTTCGTAGGCTACTGGGTTTACCAGAGCAAGATGATCATAAGCAAAGAACCTAGCGCCCCATTTCTTGTCTGTGTGGAGGGTATGATTGACCTCCTTCACCGCAAGATCGTAGATGGTCTGGTAGTCGGGAGTGTTGACGGGCCCTGAGAGTCCCTCTTCGCCTTCCTCGAGAGACAATACGAGCGAATCCATGTGACTCCAGAAATAGTACGGCCATTTCCTCTCCTTGCTGACCGAAACAAAGTAGTTCTGCAGCTGGGCAAAGTTGAGTAACACCGGCGTGCTAATGACATTGACGCCGAGCATGTGCAACTGCGTGTGGTTGAGGTAAAGCGGGTTCTGCAGCGACAACCTGTTCAACGCGTTGGAATCATGGACGCCTGTGTTTTCCACCACGTATATTTGGTCCGCCGGCCAGCCCGCCGTGACGTATCCGACAACGGTTTGCAGCAGCATTGGCCAGCTGCGCGTGAAGCCGATGAGCAATGGCGGAGCGATCGGGAGGTCGTACTTCTGGTACACGTTTGGTTCCTTCGGCTGGTTCCAGGAGGGCACCGGAGGCGGCTGCGACGACATGAGCATCGGGAAGGGGTCTTTGACGGGTGGAGGCGTCCATGTCGGTAATGGCTTGTATGTCGGCGTTTTCGGTATGTTCGTCTTTCCTCTCGTCCTTGCAGAACTCCTATCAGCGACGCTGGTGATAACGGTGTTACCGAGGTCCGTTTGCAGAAAGACAAACATGAGGCAAACGGCGAATGCGACGTATAAGAACGCGAAGTGCTGTCGCGATCTGGTGGATAGCAGCCTCGGGGCTGCTATGGATATCATGATGGCGTTAGGCATGAATTATGATCGGGTAAAGTGGTGGTCTGGTAAACGTTGAGATGTAGGTCGTGGTGGTGGTGATGATGGATGTCGTGGTGATATCACGGGCCTGAGGTTGTAAGAAACTCGGCGAATAAGCGACCACCCAGTTCTGTTTGCGAACCTTCTTTGTTTGCCACCGAAGGATCCAGAAAGGGAGCTTTCTGGGTCGTGGCCGGTGTCACAAAGTAATCGCCCAACGGGTTGTTGCTTCCTGAATGTTTGCTTCGTATTGTTTGTGCGATGATTGGGAAATCACGACTCAATTCTTGATGCTTCCCGTTTCCCGGTGCACAGCAGCGCGTCACTGCCTTCTCAAGTCCCACGGCAGGCGGACTGTATTATTTCCCTCTTCCCACACGGTTGCGTCAGGTCGAATTGTTGTCGCAAGCTGGCGTGGCGCATTCATTCATCATCAACTATTGGCGCTGACTGGAGTTGATACCCACACCTCACAGCCGTTCGATGTGGCTCATCTCGAAGTTGACGATTGGCATATAAAATCCGGGAATAACAACCATTGCCGAAATTTTCCAACGATGGGACGAACAGACCGGGAAACCAGCTCTACCTCCATTTTCCCATTGCCCATGGCCATAGCTTAATAGGAATTCTGTGTGCAAACATGTCTTATCCGTTGGTGGGAGAGAGACAAAGGACCAGCCCCAGAGCTAAGCATGTTGTCAACGTCACCGCTCACGTACCTCTGAGCTCACCCAAGGCACTAAATACAGACCACCGACCAGGATGACAGATGTTTCAAGCCCACCAAAGCGCCATCAAAAAAAGGGCCAGCCAGAGCCACGCGTTTTTAGCAGGGCCCGTTTTGGCTCGGACCCGGTTGGTCGAACGGGCCGTGGGTTTGCTGCGCTTTGATGGGCAGGGGGCCGAACAACCGAGCACGCACCCGAACTGCAGGGATGAAGAGGAGCCTCAGCGCGTCGTCGGCGGACAAGCGCGAGGCCTAGTGGGCGCTCCCGTCTCAACTACGACAAAGCTTGGCTCTTGGGGGGCGAAGCTGGTAGAGTCCTGGTTTGCGTGGATCGACGATGGGATGTACCCAGGTGGGATATTTCTAGGTTGTGGTCGTAGGAGGTCGTTGTGGCTTGTGGCTTTGAGCTAGCTGGGCCAGACTTTCGTGTAGACTTGTCCTTTCCTTTCAAGACTTGGTTTGTTGTCGTCCCGCTGCCTGCATGATGCTAATATCAAGCGAGAACGAGACCACATTACGGCGAGGGAGAAATGGGCTGAGTTCGTCTTTGCAGCTCGCCAATCGCTGCTGAGCCGTGACTCAGCCCGCGGTTCTTGACTGGAATGCCTCTGACGGGATGCTGGGCCAAAATTACTGCCCAAACCGGACCAAATTGGCCGGACACCATTTCGCAAATGCCTGTGGCGGTCAGCTAGCGTTCAAAACAATGCTTAAGCTTAGCTGCAAGCTTCTCGAATGGAATGCGTACCTGAGATCGGGCGTAATTGAAAGGCGTCTGTGAGCACTTCTAGCTGTGTTCGCTTGGCTTGTTCACACGCGAAACCACGGCGCAGTAGTGGCGGAGACTTGGTGATGATGGGTATCGTGATTCTAGACATTAAATATATAGCTACAATGATGAGTTTCTATTCGTACATGTAGCATAGCGGCGTGCCGCCCACGGTGTTCATCAGGTCCTTGATCTTGACGGGCGTTGTCAACGGTGTCAGGTCAATCAGGTCGTCGACGCTCCCATTGGGGCTTTTCGGATTATCTTGGAGCGAAAAGGTGCCGAACACGCCCTGTCGATTGGCAAAGTCGAGGTTCTGCCAGATCCAGTAGACGCGATCGACCTGGGCTTGATGGACCCAGAAAGCGGGATCCCCAGGCGCGATCAGTCCATCCGCGCCAGGATCGCCGCCGATAATGAAGTGGCCTCCACCGTGGACACCCAGGGTATTCGGGAAGAAGCGATCATCGCCCTGTAAAAGCGGTGCGAAGGTCTCGATAGTCTGTTGTTGGGTGATGAGGTTTGTTGTATTTCGGAACGAACAGTATTTCGCCGCAACGCTCTTGTTCAGATCCCGCTTCAGACATCGCGGCAAGTCTTCTAGCGGATCCGTGACGTTGAACGGCACGTCGGTACCATACTGTGCAAGTGCAGCTGGTCCGATATGTACCACCATCTTGGAGAACGGTCCAGACTTGACACATCCGCCTCCAGATCCCGGTTCGAGGACGATGAGGTTGTTGGAGAAGGGCTGTCGGAGACGAAGGCCATCGTGGGGGATGAAGGCACCGTCACTGCCCAGGGAGGTTTCGGAGCCGTCGAATACTGGGGAGGCAGCGGGATCGTTGATGTCAAGGCCCCATTCCCAGTATGGCAGTGCGCCTTTGTATGCGCATTCTGTTCGCAGCTTCTGCTCGAATGTGGCTAGATAATACCGATGCCAAGCGAAGAACGACACCTGTGAAAGGTGATGAGTTAGGGATTACGCGGTAACGCGACAGAGAAACTTGTCTTACCGTCAGATGTGTGTTTCTGAAACTCGTGTAGTGTACGGCTACGAAGTCGTCGTAAAGCGACTTAGCCATTGGAACCCTCTTTGGGTCTGATAGCACGGGTTGCCTCATGATACACTGAAGAGCGGCGACGAATGACTTTCGTTCTGCCGTTGATAGTGTCCTCCTGGTAGTAACGATTAGCACGAACCGACTAGGACGGTCAGGGATGTGATGATACATGAACTTACCATTCCTTCCTCATCAACACGTTGTTTCCATAACATGAATTGGTGACATTTCTGAAAGAAGGCCGATGATTCTGTTTTCTGATGTTGTCGAGCGCCCTTTTATTAAGCTCCGCCAATGCCTTTCCGCTATCAATATCGGCCAGGGTAAAATTTCCTGAATTGGTGGAGTTACCGAGCGGCGTTCCAGTCGGCCCTGCTCGCGGTTTTCCAGTCGGTGTAAATGGTCGACGCGTCGGTGTCCTTGCGGACTGTCTTCCGTGTCGCCACGCCCGATGCCTTTCCGTCCCCGCATCAGGTCTCCCCGTTGGCGTGAATGGCCGAAGCGATGATGAACTAGAAGGTGGCCCCGCGTTTGGTCCTGCTTGGGGCCGTCCCGTCGGTACAAATGGCCGGGTTGTAGACGAACTCGCAGATGGTGCTGCTGGCCCTGCTAGTGGTAGGCCTGTGGGTGTAAATGGTCGAAGAGTTGATGAGCCTGGAGGTCCCGCATTTGGTGCTGCGAGAGGGAGACCTGTCGGCGTGAAAGGTCTTGGTGAAGATGAACCTGCGGGTGGTCCAGCGTTTGGTGCTGCCATAGGAAGCCCCGTGGGGGTGAATGGCCGAAGTGTTGATGAACTCCCTTGCTGTCCTCCATTTGGTCCTGCTAGAGGTCTTCCAGTAGGTGTGAAAGGTCGTTGTGATGACGAACTTCTCGGCTGTCCTCCATTTGGTTCTCCATTTGATCCTCCTAGAGGCCTTCCTGTGGGCGTGAAAGGCCGCAGCGAGGATGGAATTGCAGGCTGTCCCCCATTCGGTCCTCCAAGAGGTCGCCCTGACGGTGTGAAAGGTCGTAATGATGAGGGACTCGCAGCTGATCCATCGTTCGGTCCTGCTAAAGGTAGCCCTGTTGGCGTGAAGGGCCGCAGTGATGAAGAGCTCGCAGCTGGTCCCGCTTCTGGCCCTGCTTCCGGCCGACCTGTTGGTGTGAATGGCCGAGTGCTTGGCGTATTCGGAGCAGGTCTCTTGTCCTTCCCTTGTGCTAGCGCAGAGGGGGCCAACAAGATGTAGATGACCCCCAGAATCCAAGTCCAGCGCACGTTGCGAGCCATCACGCTGAAGAGAATTTGATATCCCAAAAAGGTCTAATAATAACGAACGGTGGTGACCAGATTACGATGCATGCCTAAAGGCAGGCCCAGTTCAGGACTTTCGACATGATATACGAAAACCCTCATCCGCCCATGCCATGTGGTAGCGCAGATCCATGGGACCACCAGGTTTCATCGACCAGAGATTGGCGAACTCTAGGGTCCTACCTTGAGTCGATGAGACAGAGGTTATTTTAGCATTGATGGTGGTGTTGACCCTGTTCACCAACGGGAGGATCAGAGACCTCCAGGGCTGCTAGGTAGGTCCTGGATGAAAGGTTGTTTATTGACTTTGACGGTGTCGAACCAGGGACCGTGCCTGGATGGGAGCTCTCTCCACACATACCAGATGTCAAGCGCACCGACACCAACGTGGTTGCCTCTCTCATTTTCATGAAAAGCAACATCTTGCGTCTCGGCCGAGAATATGGGGGTCATCCCCGCTAATTTTCGGGATAGCTTCGTCGAATGCGTGTGGTACCGAATTGAATGAGCTACGAGACAGTAGCAAAGAAGGGGACAGGTAGGAATTTGACAAACGCAACCTTCTGAAGGCAAATGATCCGCTTGACGACCTGTGGACTAGCGATTGGAGGCTCAGAGTTAGAATATTAGTCTTTGTACCTGACTAAGACAACGGCACCATAGCGAATGGGCGAGATACCGTTTGGCTTCGACCATCGCATAGAACATGCGACGAAGAGCCTCAATAGTCCTAACAAGATAGGCGAAGGCAACAACCTTCCCGCTCGGTAGCACGACATTGCGGGCAAAATGGAAAACATTGTAGTTACCTGCCCAAGTCTTCGAGTCATGAGAGCTAGGTGGGGGATTTTTGGACATTGGCTTTGAAGCTAGAAGGTCAACTGCAGGTCGAGTCGAAGTCAAAGGGTTGATCAAAAGTGTAGTTCATAAGCTTACTCCACAGTTCGGCACTTGGTTGAGCCTGAGATGTCAGCTCCGGGTCACAGCAGATGACATGTCTCGGGCCCAGATGCACGGAAGACTTCCAGAACGGGCCTCGCCCAAACTCCTGGGCTCAACCGTTTGGTCAGACCATGTGTTCTAGAGGGCTTGAGAGGCGGCGTCATGTTTTCGATGCGATCTAGGGACGGCAACGTGGGTTGGGATAGAGCGGTTGGGCGAGCCCGTCAGCTAGTTGGCGAAGTCGAAAATCAAAGAGGCGGAGGAGCCTCCGACGCAATCTCTCGGTGACTGAGGTGGCGGCAAAACGTCTCCTCGTTCCTACCATGGATGCTAAACTTCACTATCAAGCCTCGCAACACTGGGGAGCGGACTGGCTCGGAGTTTTTAGCCGTTCGCCGCCTGGATGACCCCTTCCAAGGACATCCAGATGTTGGGCCGAGGCTGGCGAGATGACGATGTGATGGTGCATACTTAAAATGCATACATGTGGTGTACATGATGGATGCATTAAAGTGAAGACCGGGATGGATTTGGTTGGTTGCCCATCAAGGTTGTGCGAGATGTGAGCTCTTCTTTCCAGCGCATTCGCCTCAAAATGACAGCAGCTTGCCCCACTTACCCAACGCAACCAGCGCTCTCTCGGCTAATCCTTAGCGCCATTTAGCGTGTAAGCTCCCAGAGCAACAGCGGTGATTCATTCTTCGTCACTGAAATTCGACTCACTGTTGACTCATCACAGCGCACGGGCTCCGGCCATTGGCCGGTGAGTCGATAAACCCCGCCACCGCTGATAAGATAAAAAATTCGAAAATCCCGGGCTGTCGAGATGGAGGGGCAGAGGGGTAAACAATTTCTCGAGCACACTCGCGACAACACCAAGCCAGCGGCCGCGCCATCACCAGCTGCAACATAGGCAAGACCCGAACAACTGGACTGCGATCAACAGACACTCTCCAATCGCCCAGCATGGCTTCCAACGAGTCTCCCGCCGCTCCCCACGAGCCCCCTTACACATACCGCCCGAACCAGGGCTACGAACAGACCGAGGAGGTCCCGGCCGAGCTCAAGAACGTGCCCCGCGACGCCCCGGCGGCCGACGATGATGCCGAAGATGACATGGAAGACATCTTTGGCGAGGATGACGACGTTCCCGACGACGAGTGGGCGGGAGATGCAGGCGACTTGACAAAGTCGTACAACCGCCAGCGCATGTTCAACAGCAACAGCAACGGCGACGGCGGCGCCGCGCTGCCTCGCTCCAACGCCCAGCGACCGACGGCGAACACCTTCGCGAGCGTCGACGACCAGATCACCGCCCTCTCGAAGCACGCCGCCAAGATCAGGCTCGACAGCGTCAAGGGCCGCGACGACGATGAGAAGACGAAAGACAAGGCGGACCGCGCGACGAGCGAGCAGGTGCTGGACCAGCGCACGCGCATGATTCTGCTGCAGATGATCAACCGCGGCGTGGTCAGCGAGATTCACGGCGCCATCAGCACCGGAAAGGAAGCCAACGTCTACCATGCCGTGCTGCACCCCGAAGACGATGGGCCGACCGTCCAGCGCGCCATCAAGGTGTACAAGACGGCGATTTTGGTGTTCAAGGACCGCGAGAGGTACATCACGGGCGAGCATCGCTTCCAAAAGGGCTTCGACAAGAGCAGCAACAGAAGCATGGTCAAGCTGTGGGCTGAGAAGGAGTTCCGTAACTTGAGGAGAATACACGCTGCCGGCATCCCTTGCCCGGAGCCCATCAGCTTGAAGCTGCATGTTTTGGCGATGGGTTTCCTGGGTGACCGCAAGGGATGGGCGTACCCTCGCCTCAGAGACGCCAAGTTGGCTGGAGATGACGTTGATGAGCAGTGGAGGGGACTGTACATCCAATTGCTGGGTCTGTACCGCAGGATATACCAGGTCTGCAGGCTCGTCCACGCCGATTTGAGCGAGTACAACATTCTTTACAACGACAACAAGCTGTACATCATCGATGTCTCTCAGAGTGTCGAGCCCGATCACCCCCGTGCGCTTGAATTCCTGCGCATGGATATTAAGAACGTCGGTGACTTCTTCAGGAGGAAGGGCGTTGACACTCTGTCCGACCGCGCCATCTTCGACTTCATCACGGCGACGGAGGGGCCTGTCGAGGAGCCTGCTCTGGCTGAGGCCGTCGAGAAGATCTACCAGAGCAGACCCGTCGACGAGGATGAGGCTGCCGCGGAGGTCGAGGTTGACAACGAGGTCTTCCGCAAGCAGTACATCCCCCAGACCCTGGAGCAGGTCTACGACATCGAGAAGGACGGTGCCAAGATTGGACAGGGCGAGGGCGACAAGCTTGTTTACAAGAACCTGCTTGCTGACACCGTTGTTAAGGAGAACGAGGAGCAGGACGAAGAGGAGGATTCCGAGGATGAATCTGGCAGCGGAGCGTCTCTCGGCAGCGATGACGACGAGGAGGGCGACTCGAAGTTCGACAAGGGCAGGCCTAGAGGGCGCAAGCATGAGGACAAGGACGAGAAGAAGGTACGTTGCTACTCGAGCCTTGGCACCAAGACATCACTGACATAAGGCAGGCACACAAGCTGGCGGTCAAGGAAGCCAAGCGCGAGAAGCGCAAGGACAAGATGCCCAAGAGCATGAAGAAGAAGCTGGTGTCGTCCTCTTCCAGGAAGAAGCACTAAGCCATTCGCCTTGATATACGAGACCGGCCAACCGTATCGGAAAGCCTAGGGACGGAGACATGCTTGCAATCGGATGATGAGACTCGATCGGCCATGGACGACCGGCGTGCTGTGTTTCGCACACCTGCGTAACCGCCGTTGGCCCGTTGTGAATGGCTCTAGACAGCCTTTCGGCATCATGATGATCAAAGAGAGCCCTGACGATTGCAATGTCTGCTGTGGTAGCAGTGTATCGGAGACGCTGGATTATGACGGATAGCTCAGATACCAAGATAGACCCAGTGGAATAACAAAAGCGTGTCCTTCGCCATTCTCATTGCTTTCAACCTTTGTGATACGCCTGCCGTTCTGCCCGATTTCCAGGAGGCCCTCTCCTCAGACGGAAGTTGCAAAGGCTGGGGACGCTCCTTCCTGCCCATCACCACAGGAGGGCAGAACGAGGAAGGAACCTGCCGCTCCTCCCCCGTCATGCTCTTTCCTTCCCAAGGCAGGACCTTCCTCCCATCGGTGCCAATGCCCCTCCCGATATAAAATTCTTCACATCGACCGCCTTCCATCGATTCTTCTCCAAAGCCTCAACACCATCACCATCGAGGTTGAGACATCTCTCGCTCGTTCCGCTCCCACGACCACCATCCTCCATTCATTTCGCGATCTTCTTATCGTTCACACTCATTCAGACCTTCCGCAATCCAAAATGTCCCTCCTTCTCTTCTTCCAGCTACTGCTGGCTTCTTTCGTGGCTGCCCAGACGAACCACATCATCCATGGCTTCGAGTACTACGGCTGCGTCAATATCACCTCGGACCAGTTCAGCGCCTTCGTCAACTTCCCCGCAGGCTTCACCCCCGAGCAGTGCGAGTCCGCCTGTACTGGCTTCGACTACGCTGCTGCATTCCCCGAGTAGGTCTTCTGTCGTTGCCGTCAACGACTCCCCGCTGACATTTGCCTAGTGGCTGTCACTGTGGACGCAATATCGCCACTCTCCCCAAGGTGGACGAGGCCATCTGTTCCAATCCTTGCGGCGGCAATACCTTCTATGGCTTCTGCGGCTTCAGCGATGCAACTTGCAGCTATGCCAACGTCTACCAGGCCTGCGACGACTTTCCCTCTGACCCCAACACTCCTGCTCCCAGCTCACCTGGCTCTCCTTTCCCTCCCGGTTCGAACCCTCCCAGTGCTGGTCCGCCTGGGTCCAACACGCTCTTTTCCTATCCTCCGGTCTCCTACTTCTCTACCCTCCCTGCCCCTTCTGCCGAGCCCACCACTTACCTGACCGTTCGTCTTCCGACCGTCACCCGTACCCTCAAGTTGGCCACCAAGTCTACAGAGGTTGTGATTCACACGGTCCCGCCCGGCGGTCTCTCGACTTCGTGTGCTTGGGAGCATGACCACACACCTGCCCCCTCTTTGCCTCCCATCGAAGGTGCACCTACTGGTCCCATCGTCGTTGTTCAGACCGTCTACGTCCACAAGCCTGCCGACAGCTCTTCCTCACTGCAAGGATACGACACTGTGCAGGGCGATCCTCCTGCAGGTACGCTTCAGGGAGTCCCTCCCATTGCGACTCAGCCTGGTGCGACCACTCTTGTCGTGCCGACTCTCACCGTCGGGGAGACATCTACTCTCTGGCCGTCTCAGGATCAGTCAACTATCACCATCGCCTATCCTCCCCAGACAGCCGCGAGTGAATCTACTCTCTGGCCGCCTCAGGGTCAGTCGACTGTCACGGTTGTCTTCCCTCCCCAGACGGCCGCCACCGAGACTACTCTGTGGCCTCCCCAGGGTCAACCTACGACCTTGGTTCCATACGCGGATCCGGCTGACCCCGCAGCATCTGTTCCGGGCAACGCTGGCAATGCCACAATCTCGGCGAGCCGTGAGGTGCCGGAGTTCCGCACCATCATGCCGGACGATCCTCCTGCGTCGGCGACTCAGATTGTACCTGCTGTCGTAACCACGGCCCAGGCTCACCGCGTCAACGCCGGCGTGGCTGGTGCTATTGCAATGGCGTTCATGGCCGTTGGTATCTGATGTGAAGTATGAAGGATGTTACCACTGCAGATGGTGTCAGTGGAGATCAAGGTGTTGTGCCGCTTTCTTTTTGGGAAATTTTGGAGGTCGGGCACCGTTACAGAATGCCGGCCTAAAGTGATGAAGCTGGGAGAAGTTGCAAGCAGATTATGTAGACAATAGTGGCGGCGCAAGCCATGTCGAGAATACGAGAAAGTCATCTGCCTCATTCATCATCTCTGGTTCTGTGCTAAGGCTAATCAAAGACTCTCAGCAGGATTTCATGATGATGTTGTTGCCTTGGAGACGAAACAGTGCTCGGGATGAATCCATCAGGGCGAGGAAGAGGTCAGACACGACGCATGCACGTTCTTGGTCAGCGGGCGGTTTGGTTGCTGCGGTCATTACAGTGGTCGGATCCAGGGGTACAGTGACGGGACTGTGCTGATGATGCGCTGTGGGCCTCCTCGACAGGGCATTTCGGGTCTATTTTTGGCGACAAGGACGTCCGCAAGGGAGATCTCACACAGTGCTGCAGTTCCACCTGAGACCCAAAAAGTCCGATGGTTGCGGTTCGGTACGTATTGCGCGCGCCTTCCTTATCACCAATTTCCAGGGAAGTCGCACCGATTCGGTACTTGCTCGGCGTCGCTCCCGGCTGAGAAGCAGCGCAGCGTGAGTTGTACCTGACGGCACCTGCCTGACCACAATTTCATCAGCAGCCTGTTTCCCCCGTCGGATCGACTTGCAGCAGCGATTTCTCGAAGAAACAACACAGGCAGCAGATGCAGGACGACTGATCGCCTCTCCACCCGGCCGATCAACCACTCTGCAGCCATGTCAGAACCGCATCTCGGCGCATCAAGCCCAAGTCGCGACTCTGCGTTGGAACCGCTGCCGCTGCCGCCGCGTGACGCGCCTTTGACCGCTCCGGATGCGGATGCGGACGCGGGAGAGGCGACCTCGGCAACGGCGATCCAGCACCACGACGATCCAGCCGACGCCGCACCCCAGACCTCAACCCTGGCCATTCGCTCGCGTCCGCTGACCGGAGAAACCCCCGCCGGCACTGGCGATGACATTTCGCTGGGCCCCTTCTTCGAGGTCCTCACCTTTGACCTGCGCTATCACATCTACCAGCTCGCATTCGGCGGCAAGATCCTCCATCTCTATCTCCTGTACCGCCGCAGCCTGCAGCCCGACATCCGGTGGCGGAAAGGCCACCAGCCAGTGCCGGCATGGTACCCTCACTCGCCCGGCGTGTCGCCCATGGACCCGCCGTCGGTCGATGCGAGCATGACGCCGCAGTGGTACTGGTGGAGCTGCGTCTGCGCCCCGGATGACCGGAAGCTCGAGACGAAGCTGGGAGACCAATGCCCCAGGGGATTCTTCCAGACGTGTGGTCCTAAGGAGACGTATCTGGGTATCTTGCCTTGGCTGTTGACGTGTCGGAGAGCGTGAGTTTGACATGAGACTTGGGAAGCACACACATCAGACGATAGGACTGACAATGCACCGCAGCTACGAAGAGACGATCAAGGTCTTGTACGCCAGTAACACATTCAAGTTTGAGCAGAGGCTGGAGTCCATGTACTTCCCCTATGCCATCGCCACGCCGCACCTGAACTGGATCACGTCGCTGGAAATCCGCATACCGGACCGCGACGAGTCTCTCACCGACCGCACCCTCGACAAGGCTCCGCGACCATCGCCAGGCGCCCCTCTCATCACGGAGTTGCGCGCGCTGAGCCCCCGCGATCAGTACCTCCAAATCATCAATCAGATCGCCCCGACCTTTCCCGCGCTCCGGAGGCTGCACATTTCGTTTGAGGGGTCCGTCAGACGCGTTCCCGTGCCAAAGCCGAATGTAACGTCGCTGCTTATCTCCACACTCGGGGAGGTCGACGCGGACGAGCTGGAGGGCGTTGTCCTCGGGCCCATCGACGCGCTGCCGCTGGGAATTGAGAAGCAAGTACTCTTCTACCAGTCGCTCTACACGGCGCTGCTGGCCGCGGAGGAGAGGCAGCGGGGCGAGGAGGTCAAGGAGGTTGAGCATCTTAGGAGCGATGGACGGCCCGGATGGACCAAGTTCTGGCGCTCGCTCGCAAGGGAGAACGACGCGAAGGCAGGATACTGGGTATGCAAGCATGGCTGATGATGTCCGCCGCCATCATCCCCTTTTTAGCCACCGGTCAGTTCATCGAATGGCCCCGGTTTATGTATTCCAACGCCCCGCTGAAGTGCGGCGTTCCTTTTGATTACCCCAAACAGGCAAAAATCCTCTTGAAGGCATTTTGACCTTCTTCGGGTTGCATTTTGACTTTCTAGTTCCGAACTGCACCGTGCAGCCCACCCTGTCGCGTGCCACCGCCCGACCAGTGTTTTTGGAAAGCAAACAGACAGCCGTCACGGGGGCTCGCAAGCACTGGCGATTTGCGGAGAAGGGGGGGAGAGGAAACGGAGGTGTGGAGACACTTGATGTGTTGCAGGGAACCCGCCGCCTCCGAACAACCGCCCCGTTACAGAATAACTCTGCCCGGTTCATCATGCCCTCCGCTCTTGTTTCTGCTATTCGACAACACATTTCTTGGTACATGACATGACATGTCACACTTGATGCATCGCAGAAATCCTGGTTAATTCAACCAAGGGGATTAGTAGGGATGGTTCATGCGCGTGTTTGCATACGTTGCATACGAGTTACAGCCATGGGGGCAAACAAAAGGTCAGGCGCTTTGACGACCACCACCTGAGTCCTGTGGATGTGGTCTTTTCTTGTTTGTTTCATGAAACCATCGTCGATGTGAAATTTGTTTTTTGCGGGTTTGCGATTCCGAAAAATCGTTTGACTCTTTGCTACTGCTAACCTGGTGCTGATATAAATATCTCTTGGTTCTCACTCTCGTGGGTGTAGTCTGAAGTCCGGCGCGGGTCGGGTATGCACGCTCGGCTTCTGTCAACCTGTCTTTCTTTGGCTACAGCAAACACATCTTCGGTCGGCCGTTAGTGTCGTGGGTTGTTTAGACGTTTGGGATCGTCCTTCTAGAAGGAATCGAAGCCCGTCAGGTTGAACTAGTCGACACATCACCAAGGGCGGTCTTGTACCACCAAGAAACACCAAGATGTTCACCCCTCTCTCGAGTATGAACGCCTGGTGGTGGTCCATCCTCGAAAACCACATCTACCCCCTCCCCCCTTACCCCCCTCGCAAACGCACAAAACCAATGGAAGTCCTCTGCGTCGGCCCGCCACGCTCCGGCACCGAGTCGCTCCAACAGGCCCTTCTCACCCTCGGCTACGACCACACCTACCACGGCTGGGACATCGTCTACGAGGACCCGCCGATCCCGGCGCCCGGCTGGGTGAAGCTCGCGCGCAAGAAGTGGTTCGGGGCCGACAACCCCGCCCCGGACTCGGGTGACGTGAGCATCTCCGCAGAAGAATTTGACGAGCTGATCGGGCATTGTGTCGCGGTGACGGACGCGGCGGCGAGCTGTTTCGCGCCGGAGATGGTGCGGGCGTATCCGCAGGCGAAGGTGGTGCTAAATGTGAGAAGGGATCTGGAGGGGTGGCATGAGAGCGCGGTGAAGACGCTAGTGCATGTGAATGAGAGCTGGAGCTTTTGGGTGGCGAGTTTGTTGGATCGGGAGGCGTTTTGGGCGTGGCATGTGTATGAGCGGTTTCTGTGGGCGCTGTTTTTCAGGGCGCCGGATGGGGATATGGCGGGAGCTATTAAGAGGAATGGGAAGTGGGTTTATCGAGGTGAGTTCTTCTTCTTGCACTGTTTAAGGGTGGGTTTGATGGGTAAGGGCTGACGATGATAGAACATTGCGATATGATCCGCGGCATGGTGCCTCCTGAGAGGTTGCTGGAGTGGTCCGTTGACGACGGTTGGGAGCCGCTTTGCAAGTTCTTAGGAAAGGAGGTCCCGAATGAGCCGTTTCCGCATGCTAATGCGACGGGACTAGGAGGCGGTTGGAAGGCGAGGGAGGAGATGGCAACGAAGAGGTGGGTTGAGGGGGCGTTGACGAATCTCATTTGGGTGGGAATCTTCTTTGTCGGCGCAGCTATCGCATGGATGAAATATGGGAGGTAATTGATCATATCAGTTTGCAAGATGTAATCATCCTGTGAGAAACGAGTAGCGGCTGATTTGTGAGATGAGGTAGAGAGATCTCGCTGCTGGATTGGTTAAAGTCCTTCTTTGATTGACGCGGGCATGGCATCTGCTGTTTTGTGAACGGCACTGGTCCTGAATGGACCACACGACTTTCCCCACGGCGACTAGTTCGATAGGAAATAGAGTGTAATGCCAACTTATATCACGAATGGTTTCGAAATCACCTTCAAAACCAAGTCGTCTTCGCGGAAATGCTCAATCTATTGCCCCCTTAATACAATCAACGACTTTTCAGAGCGACAGCCTGCCGAGCGTCCGGATAGTTTTACCGTGTGTGGATGTGGAGTTGAGGCGATAATGCCTACTGCGAGACGGAAGTCGGCCCCGGGCCGGAGGCCCGAATCCCGACCCGAATCCCGTCTTTACGTAAGGGATCGGCCACACCACTTTGTAGCCAGGCGCGCCCGCGTTGGTAGTTAGCTTAATCAAGCCACTTCACGCACCTATCTACATATAAGGTTTCGTTGTTGGATGCACGTTCCTTGATTCAAGGGCCCAAACCTAATCGCATTCTCTATAAGTTTGGCCACAACCGCGACCCACGCTACAATTGCTACCTTTCAGCGCTTCAGGAAATTCAAGACGTAAGCACAGTCAGGTCAAACTCTCTGCACTTTCTTAATAACCGTCAACTTCACCCAACTTCGCTTTCCTCAACAGTCATGGCCGACACTACCGGAACTGAAAAGACATTTCGCTCATACACGTCCACTCAAGGCATGGTTTATGCCCGAGGTAGGCCTGGATACCGCCCAGATCTCTACAAATTGATTATCGATTATCATGTATCAACCGGCGGTGCACTGGATTTGCTTCTTGATGTTGGTTGTGGTGCGGGAACGGCTACTCGCGAAATAAGTCCCTACTTCGCTCAAGCCGTCGGGATAGATCCCAGCTCCGGTATGATCGCCGCAGCTACCTCTGCCGATGGTGTCGCATTGCCTGCCAACGAACGAATCCGGTTTGGGGCCTCTGGTGCTGAGCAGTTGGGTTCCAATTTGTCTCCTCCCATTGCCGATGGCAGTGTAGACCTCATCACAGCTGCCACCGCAGCTCACTATTTCGACATGCCACGGTTTTGGAACGCTGCTGCACGTGTCCTCAAACCAGGCGGCACAGTGGCTTTGTGGAGAGGCAGCTTCCTACACATCCACCCATCCACGCCAAACTACGACCGTATCAATACCGCGCTCCAGTCTCTACGTGAGCGACTAAGTGAAACGAATGTGAATCAAAGTACGCAAGGCGGAACAACCTACGAGACCCTTCCGCTCCCATGGAACCTCGAAAGCCCAGTGGTTGAATTTGACGAAACAATGTTCTATCGCAAAGTCTGGAACGATAACGGTAGCGTCACAACTCAAGAAGAATATTTCATGAACCATCAAACGATGAGCTTAGATGTCATGGAGGCCTATCTATCCAGCATAAGCCCTGTGGCACGGTGGAGACAGGTTCATAAAGATATCGCTGAGACTGAGCAAGATATCGTAAAGGTTTTCATCCGCCAAGCTTTGGCGATTCTACGCGATGGTGGCGTCGAACATGGAAGAGAAGCTATCGTTACAGGCATGTCTGGTGTTCTCATGATGTTTAAGAAGAGAAGTTGAATATGCTATTGTTACGACCTGTTATATAAGTATAACAGTCAACTAACTCACTAGGGGCTTAGTTAACTAGGACAGGATATTAATATTAGAGGTAACGTATATGCATAGCGAGTCGCCCATCATAGCGAGCCGCCCACCTTTCACTACCCTCCAGCCATTTGTGTAAGTCAATTAAGCCACATTGTACGAAATCAATTGAAACTACTCATCAGCCTCTTCTTCAGAGGTCTCTCAAACTACCTGACATGTTCGTACATTATGTCCAGTCTTTCCGCAGTTACCACATCGCCGCCCGCGCGATTCACCCCCCTCCGTACGAGCACCCTCCTGACGCATGTTTTCGCCTCCAGCATCAACAACCCCCTTTTCTACCCGTATTGCCTCAGCTTCAGCTGTATTAAGTGACCCTCCAAGACGTAGTTGGGTTTTCTTAGCTCTCCGGCGCTTACTTAGTATCTCATTTGCCGTACGAAGCCCGCGG